GAGAGAGAAAGAGAGAGAAAAAAAACAGAGACACCCTAGGGACACAAGAAAAGTGAAAATGGAGAGCTTAAAAGAGTTACAAAAAAGAAATGTTAATAATGATTACACCAATCACATAATTTTGTAACTCACGTGAAAAAATAAAAAATAAGTCTTATTCCACATATAAAAAGCTGTTCCTCTTTATATACCACCTGCAACAATTCGCGAACATGCATTGTTAAGTATATCTTGCATGCACATTACGCATTCAGCTCACACGATGAGAGTTTGGTCAATAACATTAAAAAAAGACAAAAAAAAAAAAAAAAAAAAAAAAAATGGTGTCCCTCGGTTACATTTTTTTCGTAACTTCCTTACGAACTTTTTATTTTTCATCGTTGATATTTTACTCTGACTTCTTTCGTGTACTAACGCTGTTGGTGGTGTTATTATCATTATTATTAATTTTAAATTATTTATATTATTTTTTTTTTATTATTATTATCATTATCATTAGTAGTATCATTATCATCATTATCATTATTGTGATTATTATTAACCTTTTCATTGCCAATATTGTTATCATTATCATTATTGTTATCATCATGATCGTTATTATCCTCCTCCTTATCATTATTATCATCATCATCATCATCATTATAATCATAATTTTCATTCTTCTTATTATCATAACTATCACTATCGTTATCATTATTATTATCATTATTATTATTATTATTATTATTATCATACTCATCATCATCATCATCATCATTAGTAGCAGTAACAGTATTAGTAATAGTAGTAATGATAATACCGCAAAAGCAGCATCAACAGTAATAATAGCAATAATAATCTTGTTATTACAAACATAACCTTTATCATTGTTTCTTATCTCCATTTACTTATCATTTCTCATTTATCCTTTCCTCCGCGACCCGCAATTTGGTACTCTTGCGTGCCGATTCAGTTGTTAGCTGCAAGCGAGAATCATTACGGTCAACAAAAGAAAGGCTTCAAGGTCAGCTCCAGTACCTATAAACAGAAGCAGAATTGCGATATAGGATAGGAAGGAGATAAAGAAGGAAGGAGAGAAAGAAGGAAGGAGGAGAAGGAGGAGGAGATGGAGGAGGAGGAGGAGGAGGAGGAGGAGGAGGAGGAGGAGGACGAGGAGGAGGACGAGGAGGAGGAGAAGGAGGAGGAGGAGGAGGATATGGAGAAGGAGGAGGAGGAGGAGGAGGAGAAGGAGAAGGAGGAGGAGAAGGAGGAGGAGGAGGAGGAGGAGGAGAAGGAGAAGGAGAAGGAGGAGGAGAAGGAGGAGGAGGAGGAGGAGGAGGAGGAGAATAAGAATAAGAAAAAAGGAGACGGGAAAGAAGAATAAAAAAGGAAAAAAAAAATGAGGAAGAGAGAAAGAAAAAAAGGAAAACAAAAAAACAAAAAGAAGTAAAGAAGAAAATAGAAATAGAAGAAAAAAACAGGAATTAGAAGAAAAAGACAAAGAAAGAAATGTGATAAATACCAGAAAGAAGAATAGAAAGAAAGAAATCACAAAAGAGGGTCAATGATCGTTTCATGTCTTGCAATAACGATTTCCTAAACACAGAATACTATGTAGCCTATGTTTTTGGATCGTGTGGCGAAGAGGACGTTCGCCTTCGTTAAATAATTTCGAAGTTTACGGAGAGTTGGCTGTGATCGATTTCTAAAGGTTAAAAAAAATGGCTTTTACGTCGATGCGGAAAAACATGACGGAAAATAATCGTTCCAATTTTGCCTTCAAGATGAGTATAAATTATAAATAATTTGAGGCCCGCTTTGGCTTATTGATTTTAGTTTATCGTGAGATAATTGATACGCCACATTTATACACACATACACACACACAGTATACATACATACATGTGTGTGTGTGTGTTTGAGTGTATGTGTGTGTGTGTGTGTGTGTGTGTGTGTGTGTGTGTGTGTGTGTGTGTGTGTGTGTATAAATGTATGTGCGCATTTGTCTTAGTGTGTTTTTCGCGACTCAAGGTTAGTCAGTACAGTGTCATAATTCTGTTTGCCATCTTAACATTTTCCCGTTGTATCATGGAACACTACCTCAGTAGATCACCGTAGAATCCAGGGCACTGTATTTGGTGAGACAGTTCCTGGGTGAGTCAGAGGGTTAGAATGTGAGGCATTTGGCTGACCAGACCACGCCTTCTCACACACCCACTTAGTGTGAAAACCGAGTATGGGGGACGGGAAGGGGAGACTCGGGTAGAACCGGGTATTAACGAGTAAATATGACGAAGGAGGGAGGGGAAAGAAAAAAGAGAAAGGAAGGGAGGAAAGAAAGGAGAGGAGTAGTGAAGAGGTAATGAGTAGTCACGGGTATAATAACTATAGGCAAAACACGCGACCTGTTACGTGTTATGATTTTGTTCTTTTGTTCAGAGGCAGAGAAGTACGTGCCTGCTCCTTGGAAACTAGAAGCAACAGGTTTTGGGTGACATAACATGGGTTTGATGACAAGGTC